AAATCAGAAATGAAAAAGGAGAAGTTACAACTGCTACCACAGAAATAGGAAGAATTATAGGATAATTCTACAAAAAATTATATGCCAGAAAATTGGGCAACCTAGAAGAAATGGACAAATTTCTAGAAATGAAAAATCTTCCAAGACTGACCCAAGAAGAAACAGAAACAGACCAATTACCAGTAACAAAATTGAACTGGTAATCAGAAAATTACCAACAAAAAAAGTCCAGGACCAGATGGCTTCACAGGTAAATTATACCAAACAGTTTAAGAAGAGCTAATATCCATTCTTCTTAAAGTATCACAAAAAAATAGAAGAGGAGGGAATACTTCCAAAGTTATTCTATGAGGCCAGCATCACTCTAATACCAAAACCAGACAAAGACAATACAAAAAAAGAAAATTACAGAACACTATCCCTGATGAACATAGATGCAAAATTCCTCAACAAAATATTAGTAAGCCAAATTCAATAATACATCAAAGGGATCATACATCATGACCAAGTGGGTTTTATTCCAGGGAGGCAATGATGGTAAAATATTCATTAAATCAATGTGATATACCACAATGACAAAAGAAAGGATAAAAACCATCTGATTATCTCAGTAGATGCTGAAAAAGGATTTGACAAAATACAACATCCATTCATGATAAAAACTCCCAACAAAATAGGTATGGAGAGTATGTGCCATATATGACAAACCCACAGCTAACATTACACTCAATGGTGAAAAGCTTACAGTTTTCCCCCAAAGATCAGGAACAAGACAAGGATGCCCACTCTTACCAGTTTTATTCAACACAGTACTGGAGGTCCTCGCCACAGCAATCAGACAAGATAAAGAGATAAAAGGCATCCAAACTGGTAAGAAGAAGTAAAACTGTCACTATTTGCAGAGGATATGATATTATATATAGAAAACTCTAAAGACTCCACCAAAAACTATTAGAACTAATGACTGGATTCAGCAAAGTCACAGGATATTAAATCAATATACAGAAATCTGTTGTGTTTCTATGTATTAAGAACAAACTAGAAGAAATAGAAATCAAGAAAACCATTCATTCAAAATGAATAAAATACCTAGGAATAAAGCTAACCAAGAAGATGAAAGACATGTACTATGAAAACTGTTAGACACTGATGAAGTAAATTAAAGACACAAATAAATGAAAATCTAGCCTGTGCTCATGGATAGGAAGAGCTAATATATTTTCAAAATGGCCATCCTGCCCAAAACAATTTAAAGATTTAGTGCAATCTCTATCAAAATAGAAATGGCATTTTTCAGTGAACTAGAGCAAATAATCCTAAAATTCATATGGAACTACACAAGATCCCAAGTAGTCAAAACAATCCTGAAAAGGAAGAACAAAGCTGGGAGCATTATGTTCCATGACTTCAAGCTCTACTATAAATCTATATTGATTAAAATAATATGGTACTGGTACAAGAACAGACCATAGTTCAATGGAGCACAATGGAGAGCTCAGAAATAAACATGCATATATGGTCAATTAACATCTGACAAGGGAGACGAGAATATACACTAGGGAAAAGAGAGTCTCTTCAATAAATGGTGTTGGGAAAACTGGACAGAAACAGGCAAGAGAATGAAAATACATGACTGTCTAACACCAAACTCAAAGGAAACTCAAAATGGATTATAGACATAGACATAAGACATGACACCATAAAACTCTTAGAAGAAAACATAAGCAAAAATCTCTTGAACATAAACATGAGCAACTTTTTCCTAAACACATCTCCTCGGGCAAGGGAAACAAAATAAAAAATGAACACATGGGACTACATCAAACTACAAGGCTTCTGTACAGCAAAGTTTACCATCAACAAAACAAAAAGGCAGCCTACAGTAGGGAGAATATACTAGTAAATGATATATCTGATAAGGGGTTAACATCCAAAATATACAAGGAACTCATATGACTCAACACCCAAAAAGCAAATAACCTGATTAAAAAATGGGCAGAGGATCTGAACAGACCCTTCTCCAGAGAAGAAATTCAGGTGGTCAACAGTCACATGGAAGATGCTCCACATCACTAATCATCAGGGAAATGCAAATGAAATGCCATCTCACACAGGTCAGAACGGCCACTATCCAATAGACAAGAAAGAACAAGAGTTGGTGAGGATGTGGAGTAAAGGGAACCCTCCCACACTGTTGGTAGGAATGTAAGTTGGTGCCGCCACAAAAAAAGCAGTATGGAGGTTCCTCGAAAAGCTGAAAATAGAAATACTGTATGACCCAGTAATTCATTTCTAGGAATTTACCCAGAGGAAACAAAATCTCTGATTGGAAAAGACATATGCACCCCTATGTATATTCCTGCATTATTTACAATAGCCAGGATATGGAAGCGAACAAAGTGTCCATCAATAGTTGAATAAATAAAGAAGATGTGGTACATATACACAATAGTAAGTTACTTAGTTATTAAAAGGAAAGAAATCCTGCCATTTGTGACAACATGGATGGACCTAGAGGGCATTATGCTGAGGGAAATAAGCCAGGCAGAGGAAGACAAGTACCATATGATTTCACTTCATGTGGAATCTAAAACAAAACAAAACAAATGAACAAAGCAACAATAAACTCAGAGACACTGAGAAGTGACTGGGGATTGGTTGGGTGGGTGAAATAAGTGAAGGGGATAAAGAGGTACGAAATCTCAGTCATAGCATAAATTAACCATGGGGATGGAAATACAGCATGGAGAATCTGGTCTCAGCAGTTCTGTAACATCTTTCTGTGTGGACAGATAGTACCTGCACTAGTTGGGGTGAGCATTTAGTGACCACAGACAACTGCTGAAATATGTTGTATACCTGATATCAATGTAATATGTATATCAACCATACTTCAATAAAAAATAAAGAAAAAATAAATGGCAGAAAGCAAAATAAAAATATCTCAGGCACAGTGTAATTATTTTTGATCAATTAATTAAAATCTGGAAAGCAGTGATTCAGCTGAATGCTGCAAGTAAGCTAGAGACCCAGGGGCGGCAGCCCTGTGCCTTCCTCCAACACGGTCTTCCTGCAGATGAACCACTGTCAGCCTCCCTCTGAAAACGGGACAGGAAACCCGGGCGCCTTCTAGGAGGAGTTACGGCTGCCTTCGCTTAGTTCCATTCCAAAAGATTGCAGGGAAATGCTCTGATCAGGAAGCGCTGGGTCCTGAGCCAACACGTGTGCGAGGCTTAGCACCCCCTTAATGTTTTCTGCTACGACCCACGAGGAAGGAGGAACAGGATCTCTCGTCCTAAAGAAAAGGCTGCGGCTGGTCAGGAGGCAAAGGAAACTGGGCAGAAACAAAGCAAAATAAAACAGTATGACTACTAAGTGAACCTTAGCCCCTTAGGCGCGTGTGTGTGTGTGTGTGTGTGTGTGTGTGTGTGTGTGTGTGTGTGGCGGGGAGGAGAGGGTAGGGGGTTTTTGGGCAGGGGTGGGGTTCTTTCTCCTTAAAAGAAAGGAGCAAAACTGTTTACCTTCCCAGAATACCTTTTTCTTTTTCCTAGGTGCTGACCTTTGGACTTGGCAGATTATACCAGTGTATCTCCATACATAAATGTATGTAAAACACATACGTATATATGTATCCCCCTTCACTTTCCATGTGCTCTCCATTCCTGCAGCCGGTTGCTTTGCAGCACCTCTCCTGCAGACAGGCTGTCATGACGTAACAAGTCCTGCCCTACAGGAGTGACGCCACTACATGGATAAGGTAACAAAGACTCCCCCGGAACTACAGAGTTACGTGTCTGGTGCCATTGTATGACACAAGAATCATCTCTCCAATTGATGGGAATTCCTTCAGTACAAAGATGGTGAGTTTCTGTCTCTGTATTCTGCACAGCCCTGAACATGGAATTTAGAATGTAGTAGATATTTCATTAGCATGTGGATTGAATGAGTGGGCAAAATACATACAGCTAAAAGCCACATGCTAACTACTTTTACTTAGTTAAGGCTTTAAAAATTTATCCATATCTGATTTTTTATTTTTCTTGTCAAATTTGGTCATGTTTTATTTTAATTAACCTTCTTAGTTTCATTATCAACAAACTTTATTTAAAATTTAGTAAACCTAATTCTTTTAATAAACTTACTATATCTGCCATTCAATTTGCTTATTGAATTAAAAAGGCAATATGTCTGGCTTTTCTACAATATGATATTTAGAAGCAGTATGTAGTCCATAGAAATTAGTTTCTTATGAGAACCCCCATGATAAAGAATAAAGGTTGATCAAAATAAACTCAAATTTAGAATTTATATTGAATCTTCCACAAAACATGAACTTGTTAATATCCTTTTCCTACAATTGATAGTTGCTGGAATTTGGACTTTAGCATATATATTTCAGCTTCAAATGACCAAACTTCAGTTAAACTGATTTGGTCAAAATTTCAGGCAATTTTGGTTAGAGGAGATAGTGCAGCTTCCCTTGGGATTTACTTTTCAGGATAGATGAGCTTTTTGTTGGCATTTGTCATTATTAATGAATTGACAGAAATGTGTGAAAGGGATTGGCTGATTCTGAAGCCTTTAGAGAGGAGTTCTTCACGATGCAGGCACCTGAGTCAGAACGAAGGGGTAGCAAACATTCTCAGATATTGGTTTTCTGTCTACTTCCTCTTTTTTCTTTACAAGAAAAAGAAAACTAGACAGGCAGACAGGCAGACAGAAAAGCAAATCAAAACAAAACAAAAAACAAGAATAAGAACACAAAGCAAACTAGCAACTTAAACTATGGTATTTGCTGCTAAAAACCTGTGAGTTTTGCATGGAAGTGAGCAGGGAGGGGTCCTAGCCAGCGACAGGATGAGGGCCCTTGCATTGCCATCCAGGCCTGAGGAAAGCTCATGTGATAGAAATCTGTAAGAGGTCATCCACGCATGCAAATTGCGTATACTTGATTTCTTTGAATACAAGAAGTAGTGTTTTATTCCTTAGGATCCCCACAGGCTAGTCCCAAACTCCTTGGATGGTTTCTTTTTTGTGCAAATGGAGTGACTTTTCTTCCAAAGAGCTAGTGCCAGGATGCCACATCCTGGAAGGGATGAGGAAAGGCACAGTTGTTTTTCTTGGTAGCCAGGGACAGGCATCATCACAGACACAGTGGGAGATGAGAATCAAGAAAAGAATTCAAGGCAGAGAAAAGTAGAAGTGCAAAAAGCCTTAGGCTTGTCGGAAGCAATACAGAGGGCACAAGGACACCCCTCAGAGAGCAGAGGAGAGAAGGATGAGTGATGGGTAAACCAGGAAGCTCCTTTTTCTTGGGGTGGGTGGCATGAACAGGGAGCCACTTAGTCTAATATTAAGACCAAGTCCCACGCTGTCACCATCTGATGGAGTGTGCCTTCACTATTTGCTGAATTGAAATAAACTTCAGGGGACAAGGAGGAAAATAATAATAGCTCAGTTTGCAAACTACATACTTCATACTCGGAATACTTCTGTTTAAAACTTATTTTCCCTATTAATGGATGAGGAAAATAAGACTGAGAGATATCACCTTCAAAGTCCCACAGTGAACCAGCTTTCAGCCATGGTCAGAGCCCCCTTTCATCTGATGCCACAACCCAAGCCCCACCCTGTGCCATGTGCCTTCCTAGATAAGGTCAGGAGGGGGCACGGGTCAGGGTCGACAGATAATGGATGGAAAGTGGGAGGGAAGGGAAAGGAAGGAAATATCAAGATCAGAGCTAAGGGAGATTGTGTGTGTGTGTGTGTGTGTTTTGATAAGGGGGTGGGGGCAGCAGCTTTCCATTCCAGTTTCTGGGAAATGGCTGCTTTGCTAGGAGACTGAATTCTCTGACTTGAATGAAGAATGAAAGATGGAAATTAGTTTCAGGTTTTATCTATTCACTGTCTGGAAAAGGCAAGCTCCTCTCCTTGGCCTTCAGTTATCAGACCTCAAGGTGCTCCATGAGGCTGCGAGTGGCTCCACAATTAGCAGGTAATGGAGCCCAAACGGAGAATCTGGGATTTGGGGAGAAAGTCTTGGATCTGCTGCTTATTGCTCGGAAACAGGACAAATTAAAAATTCTGTAAGCTATTCCATGAGTTGTGAAATAAATTTAAAAACATAATTTATTCCTCAAAAAGTTATCATGACAATTCAATTCAATAATGTCCATCAGTGAGCCTAGTACATTGCCTGATACAGTGCAAGCCCTTCAGATATTAACCCCAGTCTTTCAGCAGTTATGGAGCCCCTCTTCCAGGGCATTTCACACGATGCTCAGACCTTCGACATGACCTTCCACAGCACTCATATGCCAGCTGTTGGCTGACCGCATGATAGAGATTACCATCCTCCGGAGCTTGATGAAGTTGGAGAATGGGTAAAGATGGACTTCACTAGAGCAGAATGCCTTTCATGAATTATATATTTTTTTCAAAAACACTCCGTCCAACACCTCATTTGAAAAAAATTATTTCTATCAGGCTCTGTCTGCTCTTCCACCTGTCCAGAACCACTGAAAAGGAAGGGTTTACTTAGTCCTCTGCACTTCAGTTTTTATTGTTAGTGTAAGTGGTGGTTGCTCCTAGAAGTATCATCTCCTTCACTCTTCTTTATCTCTATGGAAAGTGGTGGTTGCTTCTAGAAGTATCATCTCCTTCACTCTTCTTTATCTCTATGGAAAGAGAAACTTAGCATTTTAAAATCTCTTCTAGAAATGAGGGGGACTCTCACCGGGAACGGGCAGAACCCTTCCTGGTGGCTTTATGCGGATGACATGCAAGAGATACCCAGGCGGCGGCCCTCGGAGCCGACCCACTCTAAGTGAAAGGACTTGCTTTCGGCACTGCTCTCTGTACCATGTTTGGCCTGAAAGTGTGGAAAACCTTGAGAATGAGAATTGAGGGCTGTGGTGATAACACTTTGGACATTCCACTCCAATGAAAAGAACACATTTCCTCCTGTTTAACTGAGGACAATAACATCTTCCATGCTTCTTTCACAAACTGGTATCAAATAATGCATGTGATAGCGCTTTGCACAATCCGATACATTGTAAAACCTGTAAGCAATAGGCTCCTTCTGGGTGGTGCTAGTGCTCTTTTCTCTGCCCCATTTCTAGCTCTTGGGCATCTGATGAACAATGGCCTCCCTGTGCATCTGTTGGAAGGGGTAGAGGTCAGGTATCCTCATATGTCTAGTTAATCTTAGCATTATTTTATAAACCAGCTGTTTGATTTTGCATTAGAAGTCTCAGCAATACTGCATTGGTATTAGGGAGGGTGAAGGATCCTTCACGGGAATTTTTAAAACCTGGAGGGCCAAATAACTCATTTGTAAAAGCATATCAAAAATACATTTTACTTTTATAAAGTAACCAGAATTCAGTAAGACTTCACAGGACCTTCCTGAGAGGTTTGAGTGCAAAATAGAGAGGGCTAAAGCGCGGTCGAGGGTTGAGATGACATTACTGCAGTACTCTTTTAAAAACACTGTGTTAATTCTTGGAACCCATGATGGCTTTTATTCATTTATTCATTCATTAAACAAATAATTTATGAGCTTTTACTATATCCCAGTTGCTGTGCACTGATATTGTATGGCTCTATATCAAATTCATTTGTTTAGTTTAAACCTGATTTCCCTCCTTGTCATCCTAGGGTTCATGTGGAGCAAGTATTTTGTCCTTTGTGCAGAGATGACTTGTTCTCAGGAAGATTGTGGCCTCCAGGGCTGTGTCCGAGCCCATCCTGATGCAATCAGAGTGGCTGAGTGATTGACATGTTCTATAAATAGAACATTGAAAACACAATATGGGAATAGGAAGAAACAAATGTCAAAAAAGAATTCCCTGAAAATAACCTTTCAAATGTATGCAAATTGCTTAATTAATTGACCTCATTTGTGCATGCAGATATCCTTTGCCTTTCCCTGTGTGAACTGGTTATTTTTCACTGTGCTCCAAAACAATATTCCAAGGCTAATTAAACCCTTTCAAGCTATAGGTTAATATTCAATTCATATGTAAACACGTTTATAAACATTAATCAAATTCAAATTACTCATTTCATAAATACTGTTTTATTCATTTCTAGCTAATAGATGTGTTCTTTGCATTTATTCAGTGTTGGTCTGGAGGACTTCATGTTTAGGGAGATGATAGTTATTTAAATGGCAACCTAGTGTTTACTTTCAAGTTGATTAAGACTTTTCCTAGTTTCCAGTTGTTTCTATGAAGATTTAGCACAAAGGCTTCATTTGGAGTGTTGGGTGGGGTGCATAAAACAGAGCAATGATTAGCAGAGAACTATTTCATCCCTGCGCATTGCTAAAGGCGCATCCCAGGGAAGCCTTGCTACCTGTTCAGGCCAGACCCCTGGAAGGGCAGAATGAATCTCAGTGGGGTCAGCACAACCTCAGATCTAACCTTAGCCTGGCAATGTACTTATTTGTCCACTCATTAATTCAATGGCTGAGTGATGTGTTAATTCATTTTCATGTATCTATGCATCCATCCAAACATTAATTCACTCAAATATCTGCAAACTGTCCTTCTGCATCTAAATTTGAAAAAAGCTTGATCCAAGGTAAATCCCTAAGCCCCAATTAGAGATCCCCTGAATCTGACATATCTACATTTTTAATAAAATTCCAAAGTAATTATTACATGTATCAAATGTAATTGCTTCAGTCTTACATAAATACATATTGTGCACATGCTCAGGGCCAAGCACTAAAATAGGTATTGGACACTGGGGTGCAATCATGAAGGAGGCAGACAGGCTCCTCCTTAGGACATTGGTTCTTATAATTAAACACAATGAGTGCCATGGGATGGGGCACGTAAGGAGTTATGAGCATATATAACCAGGGATCCTTAAGTTGGGTAAAGTCAGGAAAGGGCTCCCTGAGAATGTCACGTGTAAGGGAACTTGAAGGGTGAATGGGATTTAGCCACATGAAAAAAGATAAAGCAGGTTGCATGGCTCTGTGCTGGTGTTTTCGGTGTGGGATGGATAATGCAAATCAAAAGGTGATGTAGAGCTGGAAGTCTGCCATCTACTGTGGAAGACTGACAAAGTGAGGAATGATTATATCATGGTTATAAGCACTAAGTCATGATTAATTGAACAGCTTCTGGGGTCAAAGTTTGAAGCCAACTCACCACTGTATGACTCTAAGAGTGTCAATATGTTTGCATCTCAGTTTCCCTACTTTTGAAAGAAGGTACACAATATCCCTTTCTCACAAGAATGCTCTGACGGTTGAGTGACATCATCATGTGTGACAAATCCTAGATGAGCACAGAGAAAGCTGGTGGTTTGTGTGAGGGCTTCTCAGAGGTGGGTAGTGCCTGCTTCACAGGGACACTTCTGGGAACGGTCATTAGCAACTTTTCAAAGTCTTGCTCATTTCTTACCCTCCAAATGCCAGCTGGGGAGCAAACCTCAAGGAGATGGAGCCCTGGAAGTGATTGGAAGTGGTTTCACAGGGATTGGGTAGAGCCATCTGAGGCTATGGCTCCATGATGGTGGACTCGGAGACATCAGAGCGGGCAGTAGAGGAAGGACAGCCATGGAAGCAGGTGTGAGAGGGATAGAGGGTGCCACTCAGTCCCTGAGAGGCCCAGGACAGAGTATAGGTGAAATACGTTCAAGGGAAACCCCAGCGACGTGAGACAGGCAAGAACGTGGAAGCGAGGTCAGAGTCACACAAGAATTCCATTTAGGAGTTGTTATTGTGACACCGACTTTACTCAGAGTCTGGTGTGGTCTGGTGACATAGGAAAGCATGTCTTGCACTTGGACATGGTGATGGTTCATAACTTCAGTGGCGCAGTCCCTGATTTGGTGGTTGTATCACTGAGCTGAGCGAGAACAGCAAAAAGCCAACGCATTTTATCACCATACAGAGAGATTTTTTTTTTAATGTATACTTGGTCATGATTTCATCCCCAAATCATTTAAAAATATTACACTTTTCACTTTAGCTTCTTCTTCTCTCTTTGGACTCCCTTTTCCTCTATTTTCCCTTTTTCCTGTCTTACTCATTCCCTACCCAGAGATCTGATCCTAGACCTTCCGTCAGCTCCTTCAGGTCTGTGCCTGAGTGGACCCCTCAGTGAATCTGACTAAGGGGTAAAGAGGAAGGGGTGTCTGCTACCAAGACAGATTTCTTTACTTTACTGAAGCCTTTCCATTTATTTATTTCACTTCCTTCTCAATTGTACAGAGAAGGAACACAGAGGTAAACAATTTCTGGAGGAAGCCACCTGCTATAATTCTAGTGTTGAGATTTCTAAAAGTTAAAGCTTTCCAACCCTGGCACACTTCAGTGTGTCACCAATAAACAATTGTATGTTTGTGTGTCAGACACAGAGGAAGGCCCAGTAGGGATCAAGAAGGAAGAAAACACAGATCCTTTGTGAGAAGAGCTTGGCAGCTGAGGACGGGGAGAGAAAAAGAGCTGGGAGGACAGACGCTCCGTACACAGGAGAGAAGCCTGACGTGGGTGCGGGGGATGTGTCTGCATGTGTCCGCATGGGTGTGCATGTGCACAGGTGAGTATGTATTTGTGTGCACACATTTGTCACTATGTGTTTGCATGTGTGGGCACGCAGGTGTGGGAGAGTGTACTTCTGAGTATGTTGTGTGTGTGGGAGTGTATGTGTCTGTAGAATGACTCTAGCAGTTGGTGTGTGTCCTAAAAATGTAGGGCTCTTAGGTAAGTTGCATTTTAGGGCAGGAGAGGACACTTTACAAGTATGTTTTTCAAAATAAAATATTGATTATAATATATATCAAGAATAGTGCACAAATAATTAGGGTGAATTTTCACAAATTCAACACATCTGTGTAACCAACACCAAGATCAAGAAATAGAACTTTACCAAAATGCCAGAAGGCCTCCTGCCTCCTCCATTCACACCTTTTCCCAAGGCAACTATTACCCTGGCTTTTAACACCAAATGTGTTTCACCCGCTTTTTTTTTTAACTTTCTATAAGTACGTGTGTATAATATATATATATATATCCTGTACTTTTTTTTCATGTCTGGTATCTCCCAATTAATATGCCTTTTGATTCATCAATGGTGTTGAGGGAATTCACAGGTTTGCTTTGAATTCTCATCCTTGTAGAGGACTCTACCATGTGAATGTACCACAATTTATCCATCCTTCTATAGCTAAACATATGGGCAGCTGACAGTTCTTGGCTAATATGAATAGTTCTGCTATGGATGTTCTTGTCCATTGTGTTTGGTCAATAGAAGTACATATTTGTCAGTCATAAGTCTGGGAGTGGAATTGTTGGTTCATAGTGTTTGCACATCCCCATACTAAATAGATAACTGCCAGACAGATCGCCAAAGTTGTTTTTCCAATTTATGTTTCTACCAAGAATGTACAGGCGTTCAAGTTGCATGACATACTGAATGACATTTTAAAATCTAGTCTCAGCATAGTAGTGGTTGACAGGCGAATCCCATGCCTTAGTTTAAAACCATGCTTCCAGGACTATCACTCTAGCGTTACTTTGGACTAATCACTTAACAGCTCCGTGACTCAGTTTCCTTGTCTGTAAATTGGAGGTAACATAGACCACGAAGGGTGCCCTGAGAATTAAAAGGCTATAAATATATAAATCGCTTAGAACAGTGTCTGCTCTAAAACTTATTTAGAACTCTTCAATATAAACTAGAGCCCTGGTAAATAATTCTTCTCTTCGTTTTACAGATGAGGAATCTGTGGCTCAGAGCGGTTAAGGAATAGCCTCAGGGTAGGAAAGCTGACTAAAGGTGATGAAATTCCAAATCAGATCATATTCTCTTTACATTTAAGTCACTATGTTTCGAAGGTTAACTCACTGAATCATTCCTCTTGGCACCAGGATTGTAACTTGCACCAATCTGTTTGATTAATCATGCATAATTTGTTAATAGCTTTTTAGTTCCTTCTAAATTCAAGTTATTAAATATATTCATTTATATCACATGTTATTTTTTGACTATGTGTCTAATGAAAAGTTGACATGCATATATATATGTTCCAAAGCATTCTGGAATGTAGTTTTAAATCATTGCCAATACTAGATAATAATGGGTGTGTTCTTTGCATATTTGTGCATGTGTGGATATTTATCATCTTAGAAAGTTTCTGCAGGGTCTAAATCATTTCATACAGGATTATGCTGAGTGAAAAAGTAGTTAAATATATTCTGAGGTTCTGCAAAACATAAAATGCTTAATTTTTCAGCCCTTGTTTTATTTTCTGGTTTGGGGTTTACAGTGCCATGTTAGAGGTGTGATTCTCATTAATAGATGGATGTTAGGGGCAGGTTGGTGTGTCTGGATTCTTATGGGCTTGGCCATGAGATTCTAGAACCCTATCCAAACTCATGAAGATACAGGAGATCAAGTAAAACAAGATCACTTGGGGATTTTACTCGCCTTTAAGATTCACTTCCAACGCAGGTGTATCCTCATGTCAGAAATCCCATGATTCAGATCCCATGATCCTGGCTGAGTCTGAAATACTCAACTGCTGACATTTTTTGTTGGGGAAGTGTGGCCAGGGGAATATGGAAGGAAAAATGTGGTGAACTTGGCAGGTGGAGGCAGCACCGATTTCTTACATAATCTTTTCCAGGCACACAGATGTCACATCTTTTCTCCAGTAACACACAGTGTTAATTGCTATAGCTTTACTGAAGGTCTTGAAATCACGTAGAGTGAGTCCTCCAAATGTGTTCATTTTCAAAATATTTTGGCTCTTTTTATCCCTTTGTTTCCCATACAGATTTTAGAAACATCTTGTCAATATGAGATTGTAACTGGGATGACATTAACTCTATATATGGATTTGAGGACTCCAGATCTTAACGCCTCGGAATCTTACAACCCATGAAATAGTTTCTCCATTTATTTAGATCATATTGGATTTATCTCATTACTGATTTGTAGTTTTCAGCATACAGATCCTGCGCATATTTAGTAAGATATACATCTAGATATTCCCTCTTTGGATGTTGCAGTAATGGTACTTTAAAAATTTTGATCTCCAATTGTTTGTTACTACTATATAGAAATACAATTGTTACTTCATGTTAACCTTGTAAACTGTGACCTTACAAAACTCAATCATTAGTTCTAGGAGCTTTTTGTAGATTCCTTGGGATTTTCCTGTGTAGACAATCATCCCATATGTGAGCAAAGACAATTTGACTTCTGTTTCTCCCCCAATGTGTATGATTTTTCTTTTTCTTGCCTAAGAATACTGGGTAGATTATACACTATAATACTGAATAAGACATCCTTACCTAATTACTACAGATCTTTACCTTATCAAGGACACATCTAGTGTCGCTCGCTCCTAAGGCACATAAGAATGCCTGGTCTTTAGCCGTGCGGAACGGTTTCCTTGATCTAGTCTATTCCCTCATTCTCCTGGGATCTTTTTTACTTTAATGTTATTTCTTCCTTTAAATGTCTGCAATTTTCTCCTACTTTATATGATGCAAACAATCACTGACCTAGGCTTTAACCATTCTCTGTTAAATGGTTAAGTGATTTTTGTTTATTTTGAGTACTGATAACAGCTGTTTCCATAGATACCTATTCATAATAGCTAATTAGGCAAGCATGTTTTCTGAAGCTATTTGAATGACATTTTTATAATAATAAACATCCAGCTTTTACTCAATTAGTACATTTTTCTTATTTCTCTTTGGCAGCATTCATAAATGCTACATGATGGTTTGATAGGTAAAATGTGGTAGAATTCAGGTAACTTTTTGATCCGTATGTGGAAGCCATTTCTAGTCATGGCTCTACCTGGAAGTCCTCTTTCTCTGTTTACTGAACTCCTGAGCAGAAAATATCAACAGAAATGCACACTTGAAAACCACTTTTTGGTTTTAAAAGGTGCTTTTGCATATGCTGTTTCACCTGAACTTCACACGGAGCTTAGGGTTATCAGTATAGCCATCATCCTCATTTTATAGATGGGAGTTGGAGTACCACCATGCAGAAGTGTGGGATGTTACCTTGAAATCCTTGATTGGCAGGTGAATTGTGGGTGCTCAGCAATCCTTGATTTGAACTGAGCAATTTATTCAAGGTTGTGCAGGTGAGGTAAATGGCAGAGAGGGTTACAAACGTCCCCCCGCCCCCACCCGCTGTCCATCACACTTCCGGGATTATTCCACTCTCTTCGCTTGTATCAAACCCAGAGCTGTTACCACTTTCTACGTTGCATTATCATTATTGCACACCTGTTTTCTATAAATTATAAGAGTCAAACTGAAACTTTTTCTAACACATTTAAAGCATTTTTATTGATCATCTATTATCTGACATAAGAATGGACAAACATAATCCCTACTGTGAAAGCATCAATTCACCCTTGTGTTCCCCCAAACATTTGTTAATGTAGAGACTCCAAAGCTCTCAAAACGCTACTTTTGGCAGAATGTGTCACTTAAGTCACCTTAGGAGCAGTTCTCCATCCCCTACTGTTCATCAAATACATTCCAGTTGGAATTAGCAAGCTCACCTCTGGTGGGAGCTGCCTTCACTGTTTGATGGTGAGGGTTTCCTCTAATTTTCCAAAGACTAACCACACTGAACTCGCTCTAAGGACAACTTCCCAAAATTGAGATGAATGTTTATATAAGAAAAACGATTAGCAAAAGTGCTCCTCAGTGTGCATGCTCAGGTTTAATTCTCACACTGTGTGTAGAGACAGCACCCATTCTGCAGATGAAGCAACTGAGGACCAGGAAGGTTAAATAGGCTGGCCAAGTTCACACAGTGATAGGCAGGGCCAGACCGTGACCTTCTCTTTTGCTGACACCTCCACCTGTGTTCTTAAACCTCAGCCACGGCCACACCTGTGCCAGGACCCTGTGCCTCATCTCTCTTGTTCTGATAAACTTTCTTATTCTCTTAAAGGTGGGAGCAAAATACCAAAGGAGACACCCTCACACGCACTCCTTCTGTGTAACCACCTGGTCTGGAGGCCGGAGAGATGATGGTTTCCCTGAGCCAGGAGGTCCTAACGGCGCATTGCTTCACCTCTTCTTCTTTCCCATTGAAATCACTGCCAAGCAAATGCGTGCTGAGTGAATGGATGTACTCACGTACTACTAGAAGACACAACTGGGGGATGCTCCAGTGGGTGAGTTAAAATGTTAGAAAAAAAATGAAAGCAGGGGGAAAACAAGAACAGCAACAGAAAACATAATGAGCATGATGAGTCCTGAAATGCAAAAATAAATCAGGAACAATTGTTTAAAATTCGGGGGTTTTCTGCAATGTGGGGTTGAGAGAGGGCAGCTCCAGTGAAGATCTGCCTCTGGGGGCAGGGGCTCTGGTTACACAGAGAAAAGTGATCGGCATCATGTGTTCAGGATCGACTGGCTGCCGCGGAGCAAGTGTGCTGAGAGCAGAGTCCCGAAGCCCTCTGTTCGGTCCAGAGAGCACGGCCCACAAGCTTATCAGTCTGATTTTCTGATGATTCTGGGCAATTTAATGATAATCTTGGATTGCTTCTTCCGGGGTCCTGACCCCTTGGCCTATGCCTGTGTGAGCAGTACGCTTCTTAAATACTTGTACTTACCCGTGTGCAGTGTTTTGAAATCAGATACCTCTAGAGGGGAGGCCATGTCTGACCACTAACAAACAGGTAAATGACCCAGACAAGTGCCCCTACCAGGTGCTGGAGAGGATGTCAGTGGCCACGCTCTGCTGTCAGACCTGTGAGGACACTGGACATGTTTCTGTTAAACCAGCAGCCCTCCCACTCCAAACAGTGCAGATAAAGCTGCGGGCTTTGGGGGGTTACCTGAGCCACGCTAGCCCTGAGCTCCTTTTGGCTGCTCTGGGTCCTTAAGGGACCCTGGAAGCCCGTGGCTTCATGGAGCACAGTTTGGAAACCATCTGTGTGGCCTCTTTATTTTCCTCTGTCTCTGGCCCTGCATATGGCCCCATGGATTTGACTGGAAAGCAAGCTCTAGCTGAAACCCAAGACATATTGACTTCAGCCGCTCATGGCTTGGGTCCTTTCCATTTAACTGTTCTTTCTCTGATGATTTCATTGTTCAGTAGACTGCATTTTTTACATGTGAAATAGTACAAGCAAGCCACATGCTACAATAACCTAGTACACATATCACAAAATAGGCCAAAACAGAGAGGAAACAGGATGCAGGAAAAATCCCTTTGAAACTGGACTTTTCAAACATAGTACAATGATCTAGTTCTTGTGGAAGTGCTCATTGGCGGAATCTTTGCATTAACGGCGAGTTAGAGAAGCAGGCAGTGTTCTGGAAAGAGCTCAGGCTTTAAAATTGGTCCACATTTTGAAATTTTTGCTCTGCCCACAAATTTATCAGTCAGATTGTCTGCTGATTCTGGACAATTTAATGATAATCTTGATTTCCTTCTTCCGGGGTCCTGACCCCTTGGCCTATGCCTGTGTGAGCATAGGTTGATTAGCTGTGTGATTGAGGTGAGATCTTGTTTGTTTGCTGATTTCTGTATTTATATATCTGAGCCTCAGTTTTCTCATATGCAAATTAAGAAGCCAATCTAGTATAGAGTATGCATCTTATTTAACTTCCTTCCTCTGACAATGCTGCTGCCATCTCCATTTTGGTCCTGGTGGTGCTGTCAGTCATGGGCCTTTCTCACCATCCTTGACACCACTATAGGGTAGACATTCAACTTCATCACCTTGATCATGAGAAAGTGTTAAAATGACATCACCTGTTCCAAACAGGGCCAGTGAGTGTCCTCCCTAAGATTGGTCTATGGACATGGCGAACGTTCTTTAATTTTGGATCATGAATCATAGGATCTTGGGTATCCAGTGATGATGTTTCTGCTCCTGTAATGAGCTTGTCTGCTGACAAAGCCAACACAGAAGGATGGAAGGTGGAGGATTGAAAGAGAAAGCTAAAGCTGAAGTCAAATTCAAAATCGAGCTTCTGAGCCATGCCTGGTGCTGGTCCCAGCCTTGTGCTTCACAAAATCATCTTTTTTGTGAGTTAGAGTTGGGATTCCAAATTTTTCAATGGCTGGAGTGACAATAGAAAAACAAATAACTTTCAGGGTCGTTTTAAGGATTAGAGATATAACATATGAAGCTCAAGACACTTAATAATTACTCCAAATGTATCTTTAGATAAATGAGGTGGGATGCTAACTTGACCCATCTGCCCTGGATTGGCCTTGATGTTTTAGTGCTTTTTCTTCTCTATCTTCTCCCCTGGAGTTGTCATTATCAATCCTCAAGTCCCATGGAAATGGGTATATTTTAGCAGACTGCTCACATGTTGATATGTATTTTTAAATTTTCTCATTTAAATATATTTACTGGAACAAATAAATATTATGATGTTCAAATTTCTATTCAGATTCTATTATACTCATGAAAAGCCTTTCCCTTAAATGGAAGCAAAAGGCTTATGAAATTAATAGCTCTAATAGTGCTCTTGTTTATATTAGTCTTAAACCTCTTTAATGAAGAAGGGGAGGAGCTAATATTTATAAAATACACATTATGTGTCAGGAAATTTACTAAGTATTAAGGAATGCTCTGTCTCAGGTGGGTCTCCCTTCAAGTATCTGAAGTCAAGCTTTTCATTCTTAATACACCGGCGAGGAAATTGACACTGAGAGATTTTTAATACTTTGATTAAGTTAATGGAAACAGAGATGAAATTGATGACTTCCTCCAAAGCTTGTGTTACTTCTAATGCACCAAACTGTTTCTTTAACGAATAAAAAACAGGCATCTCCTGGAAAATTAAGAAGCAATAATGTTCTTCCAGGACAGAATTCTGGAAACAAACTTGAGCTCCTATCTCGATGTCCAAGAAATATCTGCTGTGGGGCCTCTGCACTGAGCTAAGCTTCGCCTTGTCTTGCCGTGTCTGCTCCCACTGCCTCCTGCTCGGAGAGACCTCCCTAACCACCCTCCCCAAATTAGCACCCCTTCCCTCTCTTTATCCTATTTTATTTTCTACCTAGAACTTACAACCAAAGCTTTTCTTTTATTTGCTCATATCCATCTCTCCTCCACCGACATCTTATCTTCATGGCCAGAAAGAAGCCTTCTCTCCCTTTTCTGCCCTCTGAAGCTCCAATTCCTTAGCAGTACCTGGTACATAGTATGGGGAAGATAAATACCTGTTGCGTGTTAGAAGAAAAATGCATTTTTTGTGAGTATTCCACCTTCTGGAGCCTCACCCACTGGGTACAGATACACATTATGAGCAGCCCTTCACCCTTCACGGGCCGGGAAGATGAGCACGTCTAGTGCAGTGGGGGATTGCAGGGTGTGCCAGGCAGCTCAGCAGATCTGGTCCTTAAATCTTCCCTCTGAACTATGCAGTCTCAGGGAGAAATGGTCACCCCACATTCCTCAGGGGGTACGTAGCAAAGCGCAAGGCCATCTGGAGCACTGACTCTACACAGCTCTGGCCTGAGTCACTCAATTGAAACTGGGAGGCTTGCTGGGGGGCTGGGGCCAGGCACGCCTTGGCCCTGCATGCTGGCAAGGTTGGACATCTTAGCCAAGACAGTTGGCAGCAGGTTGAAGGGACAGGCCATCCCACCTGGGTTGGGCCACTCTGAATTCTGAAAAACGGAGCTTCATTAATTCGGTTTCATTGTGTTGTTAGCTGAGCCATGCTGCCTGAAGGGCTTGTCCGCCAGTCTCTCGTGATGGGAACACACATTTGTGCCAGCATGCACGGCAGTGTCCCACCTCCCTCATGGACACAGCCTTGTTTCAAGAACACCACCACGGAAATGAACGGTATGCTCTGTGACAGTTGATTGCTCTCATAAACAAGCCCCTTATCTCCCTGCGGAATGGAAACACACAGTTTGGGGCTAGCAGAGGCCTTTGGACCACACTTCTAGAATCCTCTGACAGGGTGTTGTAGACCTGGAGGCGGGACCTTAGGAGGGGCCGACGTGCACCTCATGTGACAGCTCAGCACAAAACAGAAGACCGTCATTTGTTTACTTATTCTTTCCATGGCCCAGATTAATATGTACCTCCAGCTTTCAAAAAGGAAGAAGGGCCATGTCTAAAAATAAAACAACCAAACATGTCAGCCAGCTTTGCCCTTCCCTGTCTTTGTGACCTTGGCCAAATGACATCCTCTCCTATTTACATGAAAAGAACCCATTAATCCCTGTCCTGTGTTCTTTGCTGGCATTTGTGAAGATTAAATGCGATAATGGTTGGAAAAGAGCTTGGAGTACTGTAAATTGATGTACAAATGGAAGGGATTAAGGGATTAGCTTCAATTCGGTAAAGAGTTTCTCTTTTATAGAACAACCTGCTAAACACCAGTCCCTATGACACCCCCACCCATAACACTCACCCCAGACGTGTGCCCTTCTGCTCTCCCCTCTCCCTCAGCACATCAAGACCTCTCTCCACCATGACCGTGGGGAAACTGCTTATGTTAAAGGCTTCTCATGCTTGAGGACACTATGTGTGTGTGTGTGTGTGTGTGTATTTGTTGGTTGTTTGAATTGTTCAATGGGAGAAGAAACCCCGAAATGCACAAGAAAAGTGTCTTTTTTTTTCTTACTGAGATTGTATGAACAGAAGACTGCTAACAAAATAATGTCCCCATCCTAAGCTAATTTTTCATTTTCCTCTCCTCTTTCTTAAAGAATAGTTATTATCTGAGTCTTCTTTAAAATTTTAACAATCCCCCTGCCCACGCATTTGCGTTTATCTCTCTTGAGAGGGGATGTTGCTGAACGTGAAGTGACTGGCTCACTGATCAGCTGTTTGACCTCAGACTAGTCACATGAGCTGGTCCAGCACTGCAGACACTCCGGCAAAGGAGACTTATGCAGTACCCTGTGTATTTGCAGACGACGGAGATAACTATTAAATTAGCTTACATCTTGTAGGCAACCAGTTGTGTGTCTGTCTCCCCTTCCTAAAGTGAGCTCCTTGAGGGCGGGGACGATGCAGATTCATCTGTAGATGGACACCTCGCTCCTGCCTAGCACATATGCGCCCTTATTTATCGAGTGCTTGACAGTGTGTGTACCTGTATATGTATATATGTGCATTTTACCCTGGTTCTCTTTTTGAGTGCATATGCTATATTACACATGAATTTATTGTAGTAAATAATTCTATCATTATCTTTCTATATAAATGTATACTAAATATATAATTTAGAAAATATTCCTACTTCTCATGTATATATCTTTGAATTTTCAAAGCAAAATATGCATTCGTGACAGAAAAGAACAACAGGAACAATGCAATTTCACTCTCCAGCGCCTCAGTTGAGCTCCCCTGGAGCAGACATGAATGGGCCGAGAAGCAGACCCCGAGGAAGAACGCATTCTGTGATAGTGTGGGACTTCACAGCCTCTCTGTGCAGTCGGGCTGGGCCGGATGGCAGGGCTGGAGGCGGAAGATGAGGTGGGAGGAGGGACAATCTTTGAAGGCAGTAGATAGGAGATCGACAGGAGGAGAAGGTGCATCGGCTGCAGGGTGAGCTTTCCAGGAGTAGGCAGCCAGGAAAATGGCTTCTTTTCTTGAAAACTGAGGCGGGGGGGTGGTAATTCAACTCCTCCCACAACACTACATCGCATTTTACAGAGGCTATTGTGATGTGTTTACATTCAAGGAGAGACACACTTGTTGATTTTGTCATTTTCATGGATTTACAAAACACCTATGTGGGCAAAAGGAAAAACCTAGGTAGAGTGTTTGCAGATGCAGGGTAACTAACAAAGAATTCCTCCGTATTATGAAGTCTGATGTTTGAGAAAAGGCACCCCAGAAATGAGCATTTTATTTTACGTTAGGCCCAACTAATATGCACCTGTCAATAAATAGAATACTGGAACCAGAATTACATGGATCCTGTCTTTATTGCTCAAAGGCCGCAGCCTGTGTCATAGTGAGGAGAAGCTCGTAAATAGTGTGTGACCCCCATCTAGGTGATTCTTACATAAAACTTTTAAACAAAGATATGATCCAAAATGTATTAAAGCCTGGACAGATGAGCACTTACTACATAAAAATTTATGTGTATGCAGACAATATTCATATCCAATATATGTTTAAGTGATGTGTGGAAGGTACCAGAAAGATATTTGTTGAAAATCCATGAATCGTAAGTTTGTGAGATTTTATTAAGCAGAATATGGTTCATCCTGTAGACTAGGTTCAGTGTTTATTTTTAACTCTGCTTATCTTTTAAGCTTCCAGTAAGGAACTGTCGAATGTCAGCAAGCCAACTCACAAGACTGCCTGAGCTTTTATTTTCTTACGGGTGTAAAGAGTAAAACAAATCCCTCAGAAAGTTGGGAGGATTACATGAAGGACTACTTTTAAAGTGCTTTGTCATTTCTATAAACATGACAGAATCTATTGATTTTGAAGTCCAGCACATCGGACACCATACTGTCTTCTATGCCAGCAAGTGCTTTATACGAACTATCGCATTTGGTCCTCACACCCTCAGAAGTAGTGTTATTTGGCTCATATGTAAGAGAAATTAATGATTAAAAAGGTTAAGTAATTTATCTAAGCCTATATAGCTACTAAGGGGGCATTACTGAGATTTGCACTGATGTCTTTGGGGAACAGAGGATACTTAGAAATTTGCCATAAAATTTGCCCATGATTTTTACCTTCTCCATTTTCCTGGGTGGTGCATAGAATTGTCATGTCACCTCTGAAGGATCTTCCTGAAGGACAAACACAAGCTGTGTGCACTTGTGATGGCCCACTGGGCGTGAGTCAGCTCTGCGGAGAAGCGTGAGTCCTCACCCTGCCCCGTGTCGCCTCACAGGAAAGCTTGACTAGAGCCCCAGAGTGGCCGTGTCCACTGCCACCTCCCAGGGAGGCTTCCCTTCTCTCATTAGTGTCATAAGCAGGTGGCAGCCTCGGTCACATCATTTATGTGTTTCAGGTCAGAGCAGCAAATAGAAACAAAAACAGGAACACAAATATGACAAGTCATGGATTTTATATATATCTATATACATACAATGTATATATGTATATATATATATATATATTATATATATTTTAAGCCCTAACAGTTGTTCATTAATAATGTGCAAACCACCACTCCGCACTTTCCCAGAGCTATTCTGCTTTGCACATGGACAACCTCAGTCAATTCTGTTTTTAGGCACATCGCCACTCTCCTCCTAGTATGACTTAGTGGTTGGTGTAGGCAATTAATCCCAAGCATCATTTATTGCAAGCATAAAGTGGAAGCAGAATTAT